CCCCCCCCCGGGTTAATTTTACCTCCATCTTATTGCTGGAAAGTTGATTCTCTCATTCAGGTGCCCTTGAATCTGCAAAGAAGCTTGATATAGATGTTTTGGTCTAATTTAACAATGCAAACCACCTTTCTTTGACTTCTCTACCTCCTCTCTCACTTCTACCTTGTATTCCACTTAAAATTAGAAAAGATGAATATGTCAAGGGATGTGAACGTTCGACTTGCCCATGAAATGAGAGTTAGACATGGCTTGCTTGTCTCTTTTGGGTGCATTGGCGCCATGAGGAAATAGAGATATATAAGTTATCTCTGTTTGTAAATCATGGAAAAAAGAAAAGTCACCTACATAGTTCCCTTAATTATATATTAGTGAACAACTGAATCCAAGAAAATTGAAAAATGAAGGAATAAAAAAAGTATTTGATGAAGTAATTTGTTTCCTTAAAAGAAAAGGCATCAAGAAGATGCTGTATTTCAAGGAGCTTAGTTATAGGACTCAGAAATACAAAAGAACAAAGTGAGTTGCTTGCCCTATACAATGTCTCTGTCCAGGACAAGAGTGCTAACAAACTCCAAAAAGTGTCCAGTACTAATTACTATTTACTGGGGACAATTTTGCCCAGCAAAAAGAAGTGGTAAAACATTTGGCTTTACGTGAGTGGTTTGGAGTTGAGATTCCATCAAAACATCTTCGGTTTCTCTCATTCCATAGACACCAACAAATAACTGCAGGGATCATAAGCCAGATATTTTTGATGGATTTATCAACTTTCCAAAGACTCCAACTGCCTCTCTCAGATTCTGTGGCATGACCCAACTTATCCCAAAAATGCAGTAGAACATGCTCCATATGTGATATTATCTCATTTTCTTCTGTTTCATAGTGCTTATTGTATCAAATTCTCCTTTTGTGCAGAAGAACAGCGTGTGCACGATCAGAAACAAAGCAAATGTTTGCTGTGTTCAGTTTTCACCTGACTCCAGTCATTTTCTGGCTTATAGCTCTGCCGATTACAAGACTTATTGCTATGATCTTCGAAATACCTCAGCTCCTTGGTGTGTATTGGCTGGCCATGAGAAAGCTGTTAGTTATGCAAAATTTTTGGATGCTGAAACGCTCATTTCTGCATCCACTGACAACAGCCTGAAGATATGGGATCTCAATAAAACCAACTCAAGTGGCTATTCAGCCGATGCTTGTGTCTTAACCCTTAAAGGGCACACCAACGAGAAGGTTGGCTATTAATAGAACATCAGTCTTTTTTTGCTTGTATATCTGTGAAGTCCAAAATTCTGAACTGCCACTTAAACTTAATAATACTATTACTGCTTTTCGCTGTCGGTGTACGAATTGACGTCTTCTCTTTTATTCTCAGAACTTTGTGGGGATGTCTGTGAACGAAGGATACATAACTTGCGGGTCAGAAACAAATGAGGTATGTTCCTGCTCCCCGTTTTAATGAGGAATGTATAAATATGAATCTCTTCTATTCCTATGACTGAAGATGGGACCTAATAGGAATGGAGGGTTGAGGTGTTAAGTTTTACTCGTACGGGGATATATGCGGTCACATATCATTGACATTGATAATTTTGATTTGATTGATCAAGTTATTGGATGTCCTACATTTTAGGTTCCTTAAACTGAGGTCTGAGTATTCTTCTGTACTAGACTTGGGGTACGCGCGATGCACGTGAATCCTGTCTCAATGAATATAAATTTATGTATTAAATTATAAAATAAAAGTGTAAGTTCCTAAAGATGATCATGAATATTGATTGTGCATAACTAAGACAATAATTAAAGAAACTATCTTAGAAGTCCTCAACATCAATAATTCAACTTAAAATTTGTTCCAAATTATAATTTCAGAATTTCAGTTTTACGGGCAAGAACCTTAGTAATCTAAATAATCTTGAAGGATACAACTTACAACACATAAGCAGGTGCCTAATAATCTACGAACATTAAATAAACACAAAATCAAAGTGCAATAATAAACAAAAAGAGACATTAAAAAAGAAGAAGAAATAAAGCAAGCTAGTAAGAGAATCTACAATTGAAAGCTAGCTAATAAACCCACTCATATTTAGCTAGATATTGTGGATTAAAAATTAAAGAATCTCATAAATTATCTTGTTAATTTTATGCTTTTTATTGGTTTTTGCTCAATATTGCTCATAATTACAATAGTGCATTTAAAATTTTTGTAAGTTAAAAGTATAATATTGAATAATATTATTAGTGTTAGTCTTGTATATTTTTAAAAAGTGAACTATCTACGCTATTGTCCAAGAACCCATACCTCTTCTTTCTTAAAACTTTTTTATTTTTCCTTTATTTTATTTTTCTATCATTTATATATGGTTTACTTGTAAGACTTATACAAAGTTCGAAATGAAAAGAAAAAACAAAGTTTAACCTTCTCCATGGTTCAAATAAGAAACAAATCACTTTCTCCATGGTTCAAATAAGAAACAAATCAATAAGTAAATTTTAATTAATTTTAAGCTCTTAAATATTTTAAAAAATAATTAAATAGCTATTAAATGAAGTATTTCTAATAATATTTAGCATAAAATTGAGGGACTTCTCTCTCTCTCTCTCTCTCTCTATATATATATATATATAAACCCTCGGGGGTTGGCCTGGTGGCAATTGACTTGAGCCTTGGGGTTTACTCCCTTTCAAGGTCTCAAGTTCGAAACCCACTGGGTGCAAACAATTTCTGAGGGCCATCGGACTGGGTAAAACCTGAATTAACCGTGGTGCACTTGCGGGAAACTCCTGCCTAGGGCCTGTGCACCCCCGGATTAGTCGGGGCTCTTAGAGACTCGGACACCCGGTGCAAATAAAAAAAAAAAAATATATATATATCAAGTTTGAAATGAAAAGAAAAAGCATTTGCTTTAAATTTTAGTCCTTTATTGTAGGTAAATATTATTAAAGAACTCGCGTAAAGCGTTATTAAATAGTATTCTATTGGGTGTAAAAAAACTCACATTTTCTTATTAATTAATATATGTTATGATGGCCAAAGACTAAAAATTAGGACTTCTTACTTAGTTCAATAAGGAAATATTTAATTACCAAAATTTTAGGTGATTTAAATACCCTATATATTAGGAAAGTAACTTAAATTACAATTATGTCCAATGTGAAATTTATTTTTGAGGGTAAAAAAGGCGAATGACATTTCGCTAAGAGCGTTCGTGCTTTTAATATAGTATAGAAATAGATGTTGCAGAAGAAACACATCTGCTAACCATTTGCGACACCATTCCCTCAGAAAAAAGAACCGCTGTTGCAGATTACAATTTCCTCATTTGAAACCATGTTTTTCTTTAGAAAGGAAAAATTGTTTAACCCGCTTTCTGTATTTAATAGGAGCATCTCTAAAAGAGATTAGAAGCTTCATGCTGAGATCACAGAAAATGCGAATAGACTACTGTTTGTGTATTTATTGCACCAATTTGTTATACTAAGACACATTGTTATGGTAGACTATATTTCCCCGACTGCTTTCTTTGACCCAAAGCTACCTTTTGGCTGCTAAGCAAGGAAAAACAAAACTGTTGGAAATTAATTTTCTTGCCTTTTTGCCCATCTGTTCTGGAAAGTACAGAAAAGCAGCTGAAACTTTAAAAAATTCCTGCCTCATTTCTTGCAAAACGTGTACGAAACTTGAAGATTGGCTTGTTCTTGTATTACAGTTTCCTTTTTCTTTCAAACGAATGCATTCAGAAAATGATATTTTTTCCTTTACTTTTTCTTTGCTGTAAATCTCTCAAGAAATTAATTTTTCTGCCAACTTTCTTGACATCTCCAAATGAGGTGAAATGGATAAACATACAGAAAAAGGAGAAGATTTTTCTTATTACTGGCTTATCTCTTTCCTGCAGGTCTTCTCTTATTACAAATCTCTGCCTATGCCTATTACTTCTCACAAGTTTGGCTCTATTGATCCAATCTCTGGTAAAGAGACTGATGACGACAATGGGCAGTTTGTTTCAAGTGTTTGTTGGAGACGGAAGTCAAACACGGTTCTTGCTGCCAATTCCAGTGGCTGCATAAAACTACTAGAGATGGTTTAGATGTGGACCAGGTGAAAAATTGCAGCCTTCAATTGCTCCTTCCTCCTCAAATGTCCTGGGAATCTTTGTGTGGATCATGCTGAAATGCAGCTGTATGATTCCTTGAGAAATTCTGGGATATCTTCTCTAAAAGTATTAAGGTTAAACTCAGGGAAGGCACCCAAGCCTGCTCAATCTGTCTTGACAATTGTGGGGTTGTAAGATCCAAAAGTTTAGGAAGCTGAACAGAAACCAGTAGTATGGTGGAAGGAGTTTGCTGGAAAGGCAGTGAACGCTGAAATTACTCGCTTAGGCCCAATGTAATGTAGCGTTCCCAAAGATGCAATGCAAGCGTCTGATAGGTGGAGACGAGCCATTTTGCCACCTTATTGACTGAATCTTGAAATATCCCTCAGAATCGATGCAAGCACAGTAGTGATATCCTCCATATTTTAGAAGGCGCAGGGTGTAGCTGAGTGCTCTGTCCATCATATGAAATTGCAGTCAAGATAAATTTTGTTGGTGTGTGTGATGTTCCTTTGTACATCCAGATAGATACGACCATTGTAAAATCATGTCTTACAGGAGCAGTTTAGTTGATGATGAGTTGGTTGTACATGTCATAATTTCCTTCTTACATAAGCATTATATAGGAAATTTGTACATCGACTGTCAGATGAATTTTAATACTTTCGGCATTTCTTTGTGCCATATTGTGGTACAGATGACAAAATTTTACTGTTTTGATCTCCATTGATCTAATGACATAAAACAGAAGAAAATCTGCAGTAACATATTTATTAAAATATGCAGGTCAAAACTGCTTCAAGTGAAAACCAATTTCATGTGAATGAAATTTCAATACTATGATTGAGAAATGTAAATAGCAGATTTTCTTCCTGAACTTAGCAGTTGTGAATAGCTGAACAGCATTCAAAACCTGTGTAATCCAGACAGTACAGACCCCCCAAAAGTTAAATAATTCATATCCAACAAGTAAAAACCTAACGGATAAGCGTAATGCACAAAGTCAATCCATCCTTTGCATCAAAATTTTGAGCTGCAAAGTTGTCTAGTCAAATTTAAATTGAAAACCATATGAAACATTGTCAACTGTTGTGAACTCATTGGCTGTTGCTATGAGGTTTCTTTGGTCTATGTGGGCTCATAGCAGAGGGAAAATGGCACTCTCGGTTTACTCTGGCGCAGCGCGAACATGGATTTAGTGGTGATGCACTTGGGGACTGATATCCATATCCATTTCCATTTGAGGTGATTGCTGGTGATCTTGGAAATGAAGAAGTTTTTGGTGTTTGTGTTGGAGAAGACATTGTTGATGATTGTATTTTCTTGACTCTAGCTGGTGAAGATCTTGGCGACGAGTCCATCAGTTTCTCTGCAAAAAGCCATTCAATTTATGTTTATGTTGAAGAGTCCAAACAAAATAGTCCCCTAACAAAAACAACAAGCAAGTTGAAATCTCTGTAAGCCAAGAGATAGAAGAGCTAACCTGGTGCAGTGCTACTCTCTCTGTCCTGTAGTTTTTTGTGCAGTGTAGCTTTCTTTACTGATACCTTTGAATTTCTTGGTTTGGATGCAGTTGTCTCAGAATTCTCAGATGACATTGAGCTTTGATTGGCTTCTGGACTTGATAACACTTTCTTCTCTGGATTCTTGGGTTTCGTTCTTCTCGACAGAGTTTTCCTTTGTGTAGAATCACCACGAACGGGCTTGACATTAGCTGTTGATGACTGCTTCTTTTCTGGAATTTCGTTACATTTTAGTTCCTGATCATCAGATGAATTTTTCTCCTCTGGAATTGCAGAAATCATTAATTTCTGATCAACTGAAGTGTGTTCCTTTTCTTGAATCTCAGAACTAGTACTTATCTGATCGCCTGATGAATTTTTCTTCTCTGAAATCCCAGGAGACGCTAATTTCTGCTCGGCTGCTACACTCGATGAAAGTTTTCTGTCACCTGTCTTAGGAGACATAGCATTCTCCTGGTTTTCTAAAAACTTCAGCTTTTGGTTCTTTCTCATTGATAAAATAGTTCTCTCGGATGTATCAGTCCGCGGTGAGCACTGATCGCCTGATGGTGTTAGTATTGCTTTCCTTTCGGGAATATCAGCAAAAATCGTCTTTTCATTAGCTACTGCCATTAAAAATTTCTCTCCTGGACTCTCAGAGCAAATTGACATTTGATCGAACGAGAAAACTTTTCTAAGTGGTGTCTCAGAGATGACTGACCTCTGATCCAAGAATCTTGAATCTTTCCTCTCTATTATCTCAGAGCAAACTGACCTTCGATCACTTGGAGCGAAAAAGAGATCATCTATTGTAGCCATATGCTCATCATCACTCTGCATTGATGCTGTCCTGCGGCCCGAAAAACCATAATGTGATGAATCCCAGTGCTTCTCTTTGGAGTTTCCAGAAATTTTCTCTTTTTCAACAAGTCTATAAGCGAACATCTGGAAAGGAATTTGTGACACCGGGGCCAAACTAGTGCTATCCTCTCCCGGGAATTTCTTTGAGTAGCTAGCCTCGATTTCACAATAGTCTACGAGTGGAGGAGGACATTCAGGTTGGCCATGTTCTGGATTTATGACAAGGACTTTCTTGATATAATGCAAGATTCTGCATAGAGAAGAGAAACTAGGACGAAGATTTGGATTCGTTTGCCAGCATTTTCTGGTCAAATTTGCGAGATATTTAGGTGAGGGATATGGAAAGAGAGGTCTCTCTCCTGTTCTAATATTTCGCGCCATTTTCTCCCCTTGCAGATGTTCATCGAATGGAGCTTTCCCCGTTAAAAGCTGAAAGCATACCATCCCATAGCTATAAACATCAGCTTTCTCTGTGTACTTGTAAGTGCATTTGCTTTCCGACTTTTCTTGTTCAGCCAAAACTTCTGGTGCATGCCATATGAAAGAATCAGCAGCATTGGAATTGGCCGCTTTGTAATTACTCTTAATAGAGGTTAACCCGAAGCCTTTGACTTTTGCATGAAAATAACTCTCCGCGGAGGAATTTCTTGGTTTGAGGAGCACGTTAGATGGATTCAGCTCTCCGTGATAGATCTTTCTCGAGTGCAAATACTCCATTCCTCTCGCAATCTGAAGCATAATATCAACTGCAACCGGGATAGGAAATGGTCCTCTCTTCCTTTGGCCGGAATGCTCTTTTATATAAGTGGCTAAACTTTTGTTCATCAGCTCCATAACAAGGTACCCTTCTTTCCTTTCTTCATCATAAAAACCACAGTGATATTGCAGAATGTTGGGGTGAGAAAGCGATAACACCAGAGAAATTTCATCGACTAGTGGTTCAATTAGCTCTCCAAAAAAATTCCTCAAAGCAAAAGTTTCTCCTAACCAATTAATCTCCTTAACATGTCCTCCCCACGATCCTAGACGCCTTTTCACATGATAGTCGCTTGCTCCAATCAAGATTGAACTAGGCAAGAGCATTATTTTGTTGAGTTTTTCTGATCCATTTAGTTTCTTGAGCATCAAATCTGCCAGCCTTTGCTCGTTCATCGCCAAATTTTCTGTTTTCTTTTGCCTTATCATTTCAAGAAGATACCATTTATCTTCTTTCCAAGAACTATCCAATTCACTGCATATCTCTCTAGTGACTAAGTATTGTTTCCCAAACATCCACTGAAAAAACCTCGGATCACACATTTCACCCTCGTACTTCTTGGCGAGTGCAGTTCTCCTCTTCTGCATATCTTCCTCGTCGAATCCTGAGATTTCTGCAGCTGTCTCAATAGCCTCAATCACAACAGGGAAACAACAGAGCAAGTTATGAATATGAAACTCAATACAATCCTTGTTGAGATGTAAACTTATGGCTTTCCCCCACCAATCTTTCACATCCAAACAACTTTTTATGTTCATTTCGCCTTCCTTAAAGATCCTATGAAGTTCTCTCATTGGATGCTCAAGTGCTTTCCACTTTGTATTCCTCTCATTTAACCTTAAATTATGCTTAATCCCCTCGGATATTGTATCGAAAGCTTGTACATACATGTCAAATAGAAGACAACATTGTTTCTGATTTATTTGAATGTCATGTTTCAATACCATTAGAGCCTTTAGGCTCCCTACTACCTCACCAATCTGCCTGAATTGATCCATCCTGCAGTTTTACATGTACAAAGTTCAAGAAAACATCTCAAATAAAAAAATTTAGTATGCTTAAAAATACCAACACTAGTAGAGATTGCATTGCATGAAAAAGAAATGAACATCAATTAATGATATTAATCATGGCCTAAGACTAATTTAGCATTAAAGCTGGCAAGATTAGCAATAAGATTGCATCATATGGAGCAACACCAACAACATACCCAGTATAATTCCACATATGGGGTCTGAAGAGGGTGAGGTATACGCAGAATTTACGGTAGAGGATGTTTCTGATAAAAAAGAAAAGGATTGCCCGGTGCACAAAGTATCCCGCATGCACGCAAGGTCCGGAGAAGGGCCGCACCCTAAAGGATGTGATGTAGGCAGCCTACCCTGATGCAAGCATCGGTGGCTGATTTCACGGTTCGAACCCGTGACCTATAGGTCTACCGTTGCTCCACCAAGGCTCCCCTTCCGGATGTTTCGGATAGAATTAATTAATTTGAAAAATATGAAGCAAAAAAACTTATAGAGTGAAAATACATACCTAACATCAAAAATAGGGAAAATTGTTAGTTATTCATGAGTTGGATTTGCACCTTGAAAAAGCGAAATGCTGATTTCTATTAGATTGCAATGAATCCAATAGAAACTCAGCACCAGCCCATTTTTTTATCTGAACAAGAAACCGCCTTTCTGGTAAGAAAAAACTGGATATGATCAAATTATAACAATGTGGTATTAAGGAAACAGGCCAAGAAACTTATGAAATAAGGGCAACCAATCCAAAAATTTCTCAAACAATGGTAGCATTTAAATTACCAAGGCTGAAAAATGTAGGTTGATCTAAAAATGACAAAAGAACCAGTGTATTTTACGGTTAAATTTTCTGCTAGTTTTTTCATACTATATTATTAGAAGATTCTTGGTTTCTTGTAGCATTTTTCTTGCCAACCTGAAGAAAATGGAAAGGCTGCTTCCTTGGAATTCAGAATTGAAATGGCCGTTGACACAATTCCGTTTCTTTTGGGGCTGATTTAAATATGTTCCCACGATTTTAGCTGTCTTTCTCTCTCTTTTTTTTTTTTTTTTTTTTTTTTTTTTAAAACAATCCTTAGGGAGGTATTAACTAAAATTAACTCAAAGTTATCCATACACACACATATACACATACACACACTCTAATATATTGTTTGTCAAGAAAAGTAAATGAATCGTCCTCTCTATGCTTTATGTTCTTAAATTGACATCTTCTTTGTTGACCAAGGCTACAATAAAAGAAAAAATCAATTGAGAAACACTCTTATTATAATGGGAAAAAGGCCATTATTGGCCCTCTACTATTAGAAATAATACACGTTTGTTCTCCGTTTCACTTTACGTTCAATACACATCCTACCGTTAACAAAGTTGATGTAATTGTCCACGACTGATCGATGTGACAGCTGACCTCCTCCATTTTTTCCAAGTCAGCTGCCAAGTTAGCTTTCCATTAACCTTTGCAGCTGGAAGGCTGCAAAGGTTGGGTTTTGGGGCTTTCAACTTAATGGAAAGCTGACTTGGCAGCTGATTGGAAAAAATAGAATGGGTGAGCTGCCACATTGACCATCCATTAGGTTAGGGGCAATTACATCAACTTTGTTAACAGTAGGGTGGGTATTTAACGTAAAGTGAAACGGTGGACAAACATACATTATTTCCAATAATACAGGAGTAATAATGGCCTTTTTCCCTATTATAATTGACTAGCTAGTGTGCCATGATGACCGATAAGCATACTACTTGATCCTATTCTCTTATCTACTATGAATTTTCTTGATTTTTTTTTTTTTTATAAAAAAACTACTCGCTTATATGTGATGTTTCATTTCACAAGGTAAAGTAATAACAAGACTATTCACATAATTTACGCATTCCTTCCGGTCCACTTTAATTGATTTTTATTTTTTTTGCCTTTTTTTTTAGTTTGCAATATTTGATTTTTTTAGATATCAATATCAAAAAAGAATTGACTTCTTTTTTTCAAAGTTGTCATTGGAGTAAAGAGCCTAGGAGTATTTGTTATATTCCAATAAATAAATTACGGTTAATATGATCAATTAATATTAAAAGGTGGATTTCCTAATATGTGTAAAACCGCCAAAAAATCAATTAAAATGGATAAGAGGAAGCACTAAATATTACCCACTAATACCAATAGGAAATCGTTCAAGTAGTTGTTAAATGCTCAATCCACGAGGTTCATGCCAAAATATATTCATAAATCAACTGTCTCTTAAGAAGAGAATTTTATTTATATTTTTTTTGGGTAAATCAATCTATGACTTTTTAAAGTTTGTCACTTCCGTGACGGTTCATTTGTGAAGAATATCAATTTGATGTAAATTTGAATAAATTCAGTGCGATGAGGACTGGCCTCTGTAATATATATTTCAAACCTAATGCACTAGTAATGTTTTGGGATGGATGAGATATTATCATCTTTAATTAATGATCTTGGGTTCAAGTCATGCGAATAGAAAAAAAATTCTTGATAGGGAGTGTTTTCCCTTAAATGAGTCATACACGATGCGAATTTCAATTGATCTAGATAGTATACACTACTAGAAATTCGGCCAAAACCGATCGCGGCAAATCGACCGACTGAAAAACTGACCGAAGTCGGTCGGTATTTTAAAATATTTTATTTTTCAATTTTTTTTTTACGAAATTGACCAACTTCGATCGGTTTTTTTGCCCAAAAATGCGGGAAACTATTTTGGCGTCCCGCGAAATTTATCTTTTAAGAAACCGATTTTTGTATAATTTTTTTAATTAATATTCAAAAAATCGACCGAAATCGATCGGTTATTTCAGTCAGTCATTTTAAAAAACCGACTGATTTCGGTCGGTAATTTATATTTTTAATAAAACCGACCGAAATCGGTCAGTTATTTTTGTGCGAAAATGCAATTAAAAAGTACAAATAAAATAAAAGATAGTCTTAAACCAAAATGTATCAATGGTTTAGTGGTAAAATAGTATCCCGATCTCGGTCGATATTCCTGGACGGTTTTAGGCAATTTACTGGTAGTGGTAGATTCTAGATACCAGATGGTTTAACAAAGAAAAGCTAGCCTAAATGTCATTGGAATCAAACAAAAAGGAATAGCTCTACCTCAATAATGAAGTAGTGGATAGATCATTCATTTAATACTCAAAGTCTCCAACTATATCAGTCAAGAATGGCTATAAAAAGGACATTACATATGTTGAGAAACTGAAGAAAGAAAAGAAACCAAAACACAAAAAACAAGAATGAGTACTGGAAATACTGCTTGCCCTACCCCTTCATATACTACCATGTTTGCTTTTAAGCAAAGTGGTAGTAATAATCACATTCAACTACACCATAAAACCAAAAACCAGAATCATAAAACATGTTGCAGTAGTAGTACTAATGTCTCTAGTATTATTACTAGTAATTTTCAGATGCCACTACATTATCCGAGGTACAAGAAATCCGACTACGATACCATGCCGGAATGGAAACTTGATTTCCTTCTTAAACAGTACGGATTGCCGGTGATCGGAGATGTCGATAACAAGAGGAAGTTTGCCATGGGAGCTTTCCTTTGGCCTGACCAAAGAACTTGAATTATTCGGGTTCATTAGCGTCATAGAGGCGAATCTAGAACGAGTTCTGTGGGTTTTATTGTTGTTATCTACTAATTAGTATGTTCAAATAATTTGATATGTATCCCTTCGGGATGCCTGGTTAGTTTGGAGGGTGGTAATCCATACCTATGACTTGGGATCGATCCCCCTTCATTGTCTTCTGGGTCAAGCCTGTCGTATAGGGCTTGGCTAATGCGGTTTATGTCTCATGTGTGGTTTGCAGGCTATTACGCAGTACGGGATTTACCCGGTGCACACAGAGTGCTCATGACTCATGCATGTATCTTAATACACCTTAGTGGTTTCAATTTGGTTTCCTCTCTTACTATTTTTTTCCCTTTACTAGTTTATGTATGATGTGATTTTATGTGAGCTAATTAAATCAGTTGTTTATAATAATTGTAGAATTCTCAACGTAGCTATACCATATATATAGTTGCTCTTTTGGTTCCGTTTTGTTTCCTATGCTCGAAAACCAACTCTATTCATGTTCATCTCTTACGCTAATTAAATTCATCACACTTGAAATTCTTGCCATAATTTTGCAAGGGGATTTCTTAATACAGGCTTAATATTCTTTGGGAATTACCCAAACTCACTGTGATGTAGGAAAAAATCACATCGTATTTTTTGTCTTCATTGAGATTTGAACATAGACCTCGCTATACTCTCACTTCACTGACGGCTTTCAAATTCATATGAACTTTTGGCGTGAAATATAAATTTATGTGTAAAATTTCACAAAATTTAATAAATACGTAGTAGATATAAATCTTTAACTTTTTATGATATAATGGGTTCAATTTTTGAAAGATTCTATAACGTAGTTTCTAATATTCTTTAGTCCAACGTGCGAAATATCTGTTTCCGACATTAACATTCTACCCTCTGAGATCATCAGGTTGCTTAAACATCTAGAGTTTTTAAACAATTAATTATGGTTTATGGAGATCATATGGTAAAATTTCCAGCTAAACAATGCCCTAATTAAATACAAGAGGAACTTATTTTCGTGAAAATTTAATATATCGTACATTATGAATAGATAGATATAATATAGACGTAATACAAGCACGCAGATGCAGTGTGGTAACGATCTGGAATTTGAAGTTCATGTAACGACCTCAAGTTAATATACAATAATAATTGAATTCACAATGAAATATATATAAGTATTTAATGAACTTTTAATATATATACAGATATGGACAAATGCTACTGGTTCCGTGAATGCGTAGGTTATGGATCCGCCACTACTTGCAACCACAATGTATGTTGACTGCTTCATCTTAATACATTAGGTAGCTCGTTCATTTATTACAAGTTTTATAGAAATTAATTAGGCGTGCCCTCGAGGCAATCTTGAGTGATCAAAAATGGTATATATTATTGCATTTGCAGCTTAGATATGATCCCAAGTTTTCCTTCAATTTATATGCGAGAAAATGAACTTTTTAGATAAGTGCATCGGGCTGATTGGATGATGCCGGACCCTGCATAGAGCGAGAGCTTAGTGCACCGGACTCCTTTTTTATAAAGTCAAAAAATATCGTGTTCACTCGATATTTGACAATCAAATGTGCTAGTATGCGGGCTCATAATGGATAACTAAATATGGGGATTAGTCGGTGTCAAGACCCAATTTTCCCTCCGTTGGGTGTCGTGGTGGCACCTATTCTTAGGGACTAGGTAAGCCTAACATTAATTGAAACAACAACAATATTTAAATAACATCTAACAATTGAATTAGAATTCTCTTTAAAATTTACAACCCCAAAGCCGTTAGTACAAGTCATAAGCTCTACAGAGTGTTTGCTAGAAAACTTCTAAATACAATTGTTCAGAAATAAGAATAAACAGTGCAATACAAAAACTAGAAGGTGACCCGAAGCATGCGAACGCAGCAGTAGGTTTACCTTGAGTCTCCACAACAACGATACTAACGATCAATTCCTGGATCTGCGCAAAAATATGCAAAAGTATAGTATGAGTACACCACATCGGTACCCAGTAAGTATCAAGACTAACCTCGGTGGAATAGTGACGAGGAACAGTCAAGACACCTACTGAACTAAATAACCTGACAAGAGTAAGTACAGAATAACAGAGTATAATATCTATATAAAGACTACGCATAATGCCAAAATGATACGGTAATTGTAGTAAGAAAAGGAAAGTGGCAACTAACAGCGGAACATTATAATAATAACAAACTAGGATGAGCAAACACTATTTAAATCCGGGATCACAGATAAAAGACATTCAAGTAATAATTTAACAAAGACGTCCGCTTTCACACCAGGTTTTAGCCAATAACCATCATGAGGTACCGAACCTTAGAGTATTCACAATTCACGGGTCC